GTGAGTGAGGCGAAGAGGAGCGACTCAATGGCGTATGCGGCGAGACAGTAGAGCTTGGCTTTGTCGAGGAGGGGGAGCGATGATGCGGTTATCGAGAGCGGTTTGGAGAGTAGTGGTTCGAGAGCGGTGGTGAGCTCGTCAATGTCGACTTCAAGGTCTTCTACCAGGTCCGGGAGATCGATTTGCGGGTCCATTATTGAAAATTTGGAGTCGCAACTATGGTGATGAAGTTACGGTAGGTTGCGACTATGCGCGACGGGGTTATTGGGGGTATAGTATTGTGCTTAGTACGGTACAGTCGCGAAGTTGAGTTCAGAGAAAAGTAAAGGGCCGTGCGTAAACCCGCGCTAGCTCCGACCTCTGAATCTCTAGTTGGTGACCCTCTGATCTCTCGTAGTGTCATTCACCCATCTTCACAAGATCCCAGTAATACCCCGCCTTTGCTGCTAGTCGCGCCAAATTACCACGCATGGGAACATAGAAACGATCAAGCTGTCTTCATTCTTCGTCTCGCAATTCATCCCCAGGCTGCGGCCTCGGATACCTCATATACGTGCAAGATGCAACATCGGTAGCAATTGCGCAAGCCGGGTGGCTTACACTCATTCGAGGAATTTCATGACGAGCTGGAAAAAAGAGGATAGCGTAGCTATGGAGGATATGCCGCTGGATGTGTACGTGGTGCGAGTGACCTTATACCTTTGCGAAACTCACGCCTTGCAGCAAAGACGAACCCGCCGCTTCGTCAACTTCTCGTAATACCGCCGATTTCTATCGCGCCAAGCCTGTAGTGGACCGGAGAATTCATATTATGGGCATTGGAAATGTAGGAAGCTTCATTGCTCATGCGCTTCGAGGAATTCCCAATCCCCCTCCAGTGACGCTGTTGTTTCCGCGATGGGAGAGGCTGAAGGAATGGAACGATTCACCGAAAAAACTGACTCTGATCACCGATGGGGACGCCGAGGTGCAAGAAGGATACGATGCTGAACTGGCTATACCGCGCATACGATATCACGGGAAAGAGGTGGGCTTGGACGCTTCGTCCACGGAGACTACAGGAGACGTCACTATATTGGAAGGAGAATCAGCAGAGCCCATAAGCTCTCTGATAATCTGCTCCAAGGCACCGTATGTTTTGCAAGGACTGTCTTCTGTGAAGCATCGACTACACAAGGACTCTGTCGTTTTATTCTTGCAGAATGGAATGGGAATCGTTGAAGAGGTCAATCGAGAAATCTTTCCAGATCCAGCGACAAGACCACATTACATGTTGGGAATCAATTCGCACGGAATGCATACCTCGCCAGATGGTAAATTTACGACTGTTCATGCTGGATTCGGGACCATCTCCTTGGGTATATTGCCGCATGAACGAGACCGCAAGCCAGACTCGCCGTACATGCCCAAGCCGAAGTTTACTGCTCCAAAAGATAGTCCGCCATTATATCCGGATCCTCCTGATGAACTCAATCCCGAATACCCTCCTCCAAGCAGCGCAAAGTTTTCCTTTACACCAAACCAACGTCATCTACTGCGCACTCTTCTCCGCTCCCCAGTGCTCAGTGCAACATCCTTTTCGCCGCCTGATCTCTTGCAAATGCAGCTCGATAAGCTTGCAGTCAATTGTATCATCAATCCACTGACGGTACTTCTCGACACACGAAACGGCGCTATTCTAAACAATTACGCCTTGACGCGCACAATGCGTCTTCTCCTCTCAGAAATCAGCCTTGTTATCCGTTCCCTGCCTGAACTCCAATACATTCCGAATGTCCAACAGCGTTTCGATCCCGGCCGTCTGGAAACTGTAGTCGTCGCGGTAGCAAATCTCACCAGAGACAATGTTAGCAGTATGCTGGCGGACACGAGAAAGGGTATGCAGACGGAGATTGACTACATCAATGGGTGGGTAGTGAAGAGGGGTGAGGAATTGGGAATCCACTGTGCGATGAACTACATGATTGTGCAGCTCGTCAAGGGCAAGAGAATGGTGGTGCAGCATGAAATGGACGATAGTGTGCCGTTGGTTAAGCCCAAGCAGGGAAGGGCTGACACGGAGTTGGATGTGAGAGAGGGTGTGGCCGAGGCTCCTAAGGAGAAATTGTGATGGATATTTTTGTATTCATTATTCTTCACATACTACTTGACTGATGTTCTTTAACATATTCTTGGTTCAGATGGGTTCGCTGATCAGAAAATCAATGTGATACCTATCTAATGTATGTATGTATGTATGTATGTATGTATGT